GAAGTGGAGGAGTGGGGAATCAAACCCGGTTCTCCCAGAATAGAGTCCGTGCACTTAACCGCTATACCAAACTGGCTCTACATTTTCCAGTTAAGGAGGAAATGCTGTTTAAGCAAATTACAAAGATGATCTCACTCCGATGGTAATAAGAGAAAGAAATTTTACTTAGAAGCCCATCTTAAATGACATATTCATGTCGGTACCAAGAAGAAGAAGGAGGAGGAGGAGGAGGAGGTGGAGAAGAAGAAGAAGAAGAAGAAGAAGAAAGAAGAAGGAGGAGGAGGAGGAAGAAGAAGAGGAGGAGGAGGAGATTGGATTTATACCCTGCCCTTCACTTGGAGTCTCAGAGCGGCTTACAAACTCCTGTCCCTTCCCCTTCCCACAACAGACACCCTGTGAGGTGGGTGGGGCTGAGAGAACTGTGACACAAACTGCTCTTTCAGGAACAGCTGTGTCAGAGCTTGTGACTGACTCAAGGTCACATCAGCAGGTGCAAGTGGAGGAGTGGGGAATCAAACCCGGTTCTCCCAGATTAGAGTCCGCACACTTAACCAGTACACCAAACTGGCTCTCTACAACACAAGTTATTGTGAACAGATTAACTTCAAAAAGGTAAGAGAGAGGAGAAGAGAGGCCCTATGTAAGATGAAACAGAAGGCAAGCGATTGCCAAAGAGGCTTAACATCTGACCAATGAGAGGGTGAGACCAACTTCCAAGTGTACCTAGCGGCTGGCATCTACAATTAAAGGACCTGGCGGTAGGTGATGTGAAAGACCTCCACAACTTGAGACTGTCAGAGCAGACAATGCTGACTTTGGTGGACCAAAGGTCTGATTCAGTAGAAGGCAGATTCACAGGTGTTCATGTGTAAAAACATGGGCAGTGTAGGTTAGCAAAGATGGGTAGAGAATTCACAAAAGACAGGATGGAATCAAGGACGGATGTCTGTGGTTAGCAGCACAGAGTTACTTCAAGTGAATCCTCTGCTCTGTCGGATCAGTTCTCATTCCCTCCAGATCTACTAAGTTGATTCTTCCCTTTCCCCCACATCCTCAGGGCATCCTCGTCTCCCCACCCTCATGCCTTTCTAGGTATCTGTAATCATCTAAATGGAGGGGCACAGCTTTTAAAACCTCTTAACCGTGAGACATCTTGAAATCAGGGGTGCATGAGGCTAAAAGGGACCACCAAGGGGTGTAGGACGCTTACCAGGCGCTTCTTGGGCCGGATGAGGGGCCGGTTCTGCCCATTCATCTTGTGATAGAGTCCACAAGCGTTACAGAGATAGTGGCCGGTGCCATCTCTTCGCCACAGGGGCGTGGCCGTGGCCCCACAGTTCACACACTCGCGGGCCTCTGAGAGGAAAGATGAAGACAGTCAATGAAAAGGTGACCGAATCGCTCAGAAGGGAGGGGAGGGAATGTGAGGCTTTTATTTATTTTATTTATTTACTTCTGATGTGGGGCCAAGAACCATTTCCGCAGTAGTGAAATCCCCCGCATTGACGTTTTTAACACTGCGCATTATGTGAAATTTTACCACAGTCGGTTTTTCCGCACCAGACGCAAATCCGAAGTTTTCTCCTTTTCGGAACTCGCTAAAACGGGGGATTCCGAAAATGTTGGGTAAGAAGGAGAAAACTTCGGGTTTGGGCCTGGTGAGGAAAAATCTACTGCGGAAAATTGCACATAACGCGCAGTTTTAAAAAACGTCCGTGCAGGGAATTTCACAACTGCGGAGATGGAGAACACTAATTAGGAATGATGTCTATATGCAGGGGTCATATGCTAATGAGTTACGCTAATGAGCTCCTGCCCCTCTTTTTCTACGAAATGACCCCCGAGTGAGCCCCAGAGTGTTCCCATTTTGGCACGGGACAATGGCTCTCTGAAACGCAGTGGAGACGCTGCCTCGGTGTTATGCTTTCCTACCCAGCTCCTTCACTCGGGGAAGCTCCCATACCGCGTAAGGAACCTGTGCAAGTTCTGATCAGGTAGGTTGCCAGGTCCCCCTGGCCACCGGAGGGAGATGGGGGGGGTCGGGTTGCCAGATCCAGGCTAGGAAATTTCTGGAGATCTGGGAGTGGAGCCTGGGGAGGACAGGGACCTCAGTGGGGTCCAACCTCCAAAGCAGAACTGATCACACACACACAGAGGGCTATTTTTGGGCAGGAACGCACAGGAACGGAGTTCTGGCTGGCTCCGGAGTTGGCCACGCCCAGCAGGAGCTCATTAGCATAATAGGCCACACCCAACAGCAGAAACTCATTAGGATTGGCTACATTAGGGGTGTGTGGCCTAACATGCAAAGGAGTTCCTGCTACAAAAAAGGCCCTTTTGACAACAAACAAGGTAAGCAGAATAAGAATCAAAAGGTGGATGTGGCTGGATGACCATACTTCTGGTAACATGGGGGTGCGCCCTAATGTGCTAATGAGCTGTGCTGTCATTGGTGTGGCCTAATATGCTAATGGATTTCTGCTGCTGGGTGTGGCCTATTATGCTAATGAGTTCCTGCTGGGCTTTTTCTACAAACAATGCCCTGCACACACACACATATACACACATAGATTGCTGCTCACCCTCTACCTCTTCAAAAGTTTATACCTTGAATAAAACTTTATGGGTCTTGAAGGTGCCACTGGACTCAAACTTTGTTCCACAAATTGTTTTGTTTCAGACTGGATATAGCTGAAATGGAGCAAGGCACCGCCGAAATTTCGAGTTTCCCAAAACATATCACCCAAAATTTCAGGATTTTTTTTTAAAAAATTATTTGGATCACTCTTTTCAATGGGCAGTAGACTGTTTTTGAAGTGCACAACCCTATTAAAAACAATGGAACAGATGGTGCAGCAGAGAAATCAGGCACTTGCCAAAATGTCCCTACAAGTCAGTGGAGTCAGTGGAAACTGAAAGGAAAAGTAGAAAGGGTCAAAACCATTGGGGAAGCTTGGAAACTATTTAAAAATACGATCCTAGAAGCTCAAAAAAAAAATATTCCGCAGGTTAGGAAAGGCACAAACAGGTATAGGAAAAAGCCTGCATGGTTAACAAACAAAGTAATGGAAGCTGTAAAAGGTAAAAAGGATTCCTTTAAGCAGTGGAAAGCTAGTCACAGTGAGGCTGATAAAACGGAACACAGGCTATGGCAAATAAAATGCAAGTCTGTGGTCAGGCAGGCAAAAAGGGAATATGAGGAGCATATAGCAAAAAACCTAAAAACCAACAATAAAACTTTCTTCAAATACATTAGAAACAGGAAACCAGCCAGGGAGGCAGTGGGGCCCTTGGACGACCAAGGGGTAAAAGGAGTATTGAAGGATGATAGGGAAATGGCTGAGAAGCTAAATGCATTCTTTGCCTCCGTCTTCACTGTGGAAGATGAGAAGTGCTTGCCCACTCCAGAACCACTGATTTCAGGAGGGGTGTTGAAAGACCTGAGTCAGATTGAGGTGACGAGAGAGGAGGTCCTAAAACTGATAGACAACTTAAAAACTGAAAAATCACCAGGCCCAGATGGCATACATCCGAGAGTTCTGAAAGAACTCAAATGTGAACTTGTAGATCTCCTGACAAAGATATGTAATCTTTCCTTAAAATCTGCCTCCATTCCTGAGGATTGGAAGGTAGCAAATGTCACTCCCATCTTTAAAAAGGGTTCCAGAGGAGATCCGGGAAATTACAGGCCAGTCAGTCTGACGTCGATACCGGGTAAATTGGTGGAAACCATTATTAAGGAAAGAATTAGTAGGCACATAGATGAACAAAACCTATTGAGGCAGACTCAGCACGGTTTCTGTAAGGGAAGATCTTGTCTCACTAACCTGTTAGTGTTCTTTGAGGGGGTGAACAAACATGTGGACAAGGGGGATCCAATAGATATTATTTACCTTGACTTCCAGAAAGCTTTTGATAAAGTTCCTCATCAAAGGCTCCTAAGTAAGCTCAAAAATCATGGGATAGAAGGACAAGTCCTTTTATGGATCAAAAACTGGCTAGTTCATAGAAAACAGAGAGTGAGTGTAGGTGGGCAATTTTCTCAGTGGAGGGTGGTAAGCAGTGGGGTACCGCAGGGATCAGTACTTGGTCCACTGCTTTTTAACTTGTTCATTAATGATTTGGAGATGGGAGTAAGCAGTGAAGTGGCTAAATTTGCGGATGATACAAAGTTGTTCAGGGTGGTGAAAACCAGTGAGGATTGTGAGGCACTCCAAGGGGATCTGTCAAGGATGGGCGAGTGGGCGTCAACATGGCAAATGGGGTTCAATGTGGCCAAGTGCAAGGTGATGCACATTGGAGCCAAAAATCCTAAATATAAATACACATTGATGGGGTCTGAACTGGCAGAGACTGAGCAAGAGAGAGATCTTGGAGTTGTAGTGGATAACTCACTGAAAATGTCGAGACAGTGTGTGACTGCAATAAAGAAGGCCAATGCTATGCTGGGGATTATTAGGAAGGGTATTGAAAACAGATCAGCCAATATAATAATGCCCCTATATAAATCAATGGTGAGACCTCATTTGGAATACTGTGTGCAGTTCTGGGCACCACACCTTAAAAAGGATATTATAGCTTTGGAAAAAGTGCAGAAAAGGGCAACTCGAATGATAAAAGGGTTGGAACACTTTCCCTATGAGGAAAGGTTAAAGCGCTTAGGGCTCTTTAGCTTGGAGAAAAGACGACTGAGGGGTGACATGATCGAGGTTTATAAGATTATGCATGGGAAAGAGCAGGTAAAGAAAGAGGTACTTTTCTCCCTTTCTCACAATACAAGAACTCGTGGGCACTCCATGAAACTGCAGAGCGGTCGGGTTAGAACGGATAAAAGGAAGTACTTCTTCACCCAAAGAGTGATTAACACATGGAATTCACTGCCACAGGAAGTGGTGGGTGCTACAAGCATGGACGGCTTCAAAAGGGAATTAGATAAGCATATGGAGCAGAGGTCCATCAGTGGCTATTAGCCACAAGGTATAGCTAGGGGCTCTGGGGCAAGTGATGCTCTGTCTTCTTGGTGCTTGGGGGGGGGGTCAACAGTGGGAGGGCTTCTAATGTCCTGGCCCCACTGCTGGACCTCCTGATGGCACTGGTATTTCTGGCCACTGTGTGACACAGAGTGTTGGACTGGATGGGCCTTTGGCCTGATCCAACATTGGCGTCTCTTATGTTCTTATGTTCTTAAATGTAGGAGCAGGACCAGGGTACTTTAATCCATCAGGGA